CGCGGGGCCCCGGCGCGGGCCTGGGCCCAGCGGGATGGGAGAGCCGTGGCAGCGCGGCGTCCGAGCGTCCACATGCTGCTCGCGATCTTCGGCCGCTCCGCCCTCCGTCTCCTAGACGCGGCGGCGACACCTGGTGGCCGAGAGCCGCAAGCGCCGCGGCTGGGTTCCCGCGCTCAGGTCCGTCCCTGGTTTCTGGCAGATGGCCAAGGGTTAGACCTCAGGAAGAACTTCCCGTATTCCATTCTCTGTGCATTTAACAAAAATGAAGAGCCTGCTCGTGCAGAGCATGCAGCCTACCGTTAGGCAACACTGACTCGTAACCAAGGTCCAGTCCCCTGTGACAACAGCCTAGTCACCTGCTACTGGAGAAATTCTATACTGGAAGAATGTGGGAGCTATAGTTTTGCTGGGGACTGGGTGAGGTGCAGATGATGTGGGTCACAGCAGTTAGGAGTGTGCAGACGGGATGAAAAGCCTGGGTTAAATCTTCCTACTGGGCATTGAGCAAGTGAATTAATCTCTTGGTGAGTCCCTTGTACAATGGGACTTAGGAACATTTCTACTTCATAAGGTTATGGTAAGAATAAAATGAGTTAATTCATGTACAGTTTTGCTGGCTAGGCCCTGGACCCTTCATAATAATAAAATCATACCTAGGCTGTACTCTGCAAAGGAATACAAATTGGGAAATTTTCCTTCATGATTCATGTATGTTCTAGAAACCTCAAATGTAATGGGACAGAATGTTATTTTTATGGCGAAAGCAGTAGGCTGAGGGGACAGACAGTCCCAAAGCTCTCTCAAAGCCCTTGGTGTTTTGTAAATAGTGAAGATAAGACATGTGTGTAAAAATTTAGGCCACTAAATGAGAAGTATCAAAGAAGGAAAACGAATGATGTCAGTGTTGAGTGGGAAACTTACATGACTGGTCTGGGGACAATGGAGGATGTCTTCACGGTGGAGGTGTTACTTGCGCAGGGACTTGAAAAGTTGGGCAAAGGAGCCCGGATCTGACTGCTGTCAGAATGGTGGTCCAGGGCACTCTTCTGGATCAGGGACAGTCTGCATGCAATTCATTCTAAGCAGCCATTTATTTAGAACTTGTTATTTGTGTCCCAGACATGGAGAAACCATTTCTCCCTGGTGGTACTGTTGATTGTGTTAAAAACAGAAAAAAGAAAAATTGAAATATACAGAGTTCTTCATGCCAGCCCCTGCCTAGACTTAATATTTAACCTAACTGCGGTTTCAACTTAGCCCAGGCGCCCTTGCTCTGAATGTCCAGGAAATGCATGGTGCCATCTTCCTCCATTGGAATTTCCTGATTGGCACTAGTGAGGTCCTGCAGAGTAAGTTGCTTTCCAGTCCTTCCTTGAACAAAGGTGGCATTGCCTGAGATAATCTTTGGAATTTTTTCCCCCTAATAACTTCCTCTCACCCACTTTCTAACTATAAAACCTTTTTGCCTAATACAAGCCCTTGCAGAGATATTTCTTGTATCCTCTTATATGTATCAACTCATGCATGTTGTCTATGGAAGGCAATGAATCTGAATCTTAAATGAATTAGGGCATTACCGTTTGCCAGGCCTTGGGCCAAAAGGTTATAGGTGGAGGTCTGGGCCTTCTAGGAAAATGAATGGATGTCTAAAAGTCTCCCAGGTTATGGGGGAGTGGCTGTAGCAGGAGATTTGTGTTTGCTAGAGAGGTGCTGCCCTATTCATGCATCATATCATAAATCCAAGTAGACCTCTCTACAGTTGTCATAGATGGGAATGGCAAGGGGTATGGCTACTGGCATCTAAGTAGGGCCTAGGGATGCTGCTAGACATTTACTAAGCTTGCCCCACATACAGAATTACCCAGCCCAGAAAGTCATTGTTTCAAGACTGAGAGGCCCGTACTGAAGCCACAAGCAAAGAATCCATTGGAGGCAAAGGGAAGTGTGTTGGTGGTTAACCACCACCCCAGCCCCTGCCACACGAACAGCAAGCCCCTTCTCGCACCCAAAGTCTGCCATCTGTACTTTTCCCATCTGGGTTATCCCTTATGTTATTCCTTAGTCGCCATCTCTTTGCCTGGCATGAAAGATTGGAGTTTCCAAAGAGGGGCACATTAATAGTTACGTCATATCACATGCCCTTTGGGACTTTGATATGGTTCAGAAGAATGCTGTGTTACTTTAAAGTGTAGGTCTTTAAAGAATAGCGCCTTTCCCTTATTCCCTCTTTTTGGGATCCTTACTCTTTGGACCAGTCATTGGACTCTGAATAAATATGAATAAGCTTTAACAGAGAGACCATGGAGAGGAACTAAAACCCCCAGCCAATAGCTAGCATCCAACTATAAAACATGTGCGTGAACTGGTCTTCACATGACTCTCTTCCCAGTTTTAGTTTTCTAGTGGACGCCTCAGACACCATGGAATAGAGACACACTGTCCCTATTGTACCATGTCTAAATTACAGACCCACAGAAATCATGAGCATAAAAATGTTGGTGTGTGCTTTAACTATGTGTTTGGGATAATTTGTCAGGAAGTCACATGGCTGTCATCCTCATCCTCTAGGACTTAACTCAGTTGTCAGACCTCCTCCAGAGTCTTTTTTTTTTTTTTTTTTAAGATTTATTGATGCATCCATGAACTGAGGTATAGACCAGAGGTGTGGGGCAGGGTGGGGTGGTGAAAGGATTCACCAGAGACAAAGTAGGGAGCATAATAGACAGATCTACTGAAATACACTGCTGAGGGGAGGAGTGGATGAGACAGGAGAGGTCTGCTGTGCTTATGGGTCACCTTCCAGGCAGTGGATCAAACTTGTGCTACAGTGGCTGCTGATACCTTCATAGTGTTGAGACTTCACCCCTTGCACCACCAGGTGTGTCTTAAATGTCCCCCAGGTGTAATTGCTAGCTTTTTTATTTAGCTAGTGTAGCTCACAAATAATAGACCCTCTATTGATAAATGGATGAAGAAAGGACAAAAATGAATGACATTCTTCTTTGTTGTTCTATTTCTTCAGTAAAGATTTTCTTTAGGCTTTTAGGTATATGATAATGACATCTGCAAATAGTGATAGTTAATTCTTTATTCCCCATTTGAATCCTTTTTATGTTTTTCCTGCTTACCTGCTCTAGCTAAGACTTCCCATATTGTGTTGAATGGTAGTGGTAAGAGTGGACATCCTTGTCTTGTACCTGACTTTCGAGGAAAAGCTTTCAGTTTTTTACTGTTGAGTATGATATTAACTGTGTTTGTCATATATGGTTTTAGTATGTTGCGGGGGGCAGGCCAGTTCTCCTGATGAAGAGAGAATTAGAAAACTTGCCAGGGTGCCAAGAATCAAGTGCTACCCTAGTTTCCCATAGATGATAAAATTTCGTTCTCTAAATTCTTGGCTTTGGGCTTTGGTTCAGCACTGTGACTCAGAACCTAAACATTTAACTTCCTGCCAGGCAGTGACTTCAGCTCTAGGAAAAACAAGTCCATGGTGTTTCTTGGATTGATTGATACGAGAAATTGCTGAGGATGTTCTTCTCTGACATTTGCCAAGGGCAAATTTTCTATCACCAGGGATGAAAAATAGCAGTATGTCTCAGGAAACATATTATGGGACCAGAACTTGAATCTAAGCTCTGAAGTCCAGTGTAATACATGATCTCGATATTACAAAACTCCTAAGATATCCAGAAAATTAATTGATCAATAATTCCAAAATGCTTTTGAAAATAAATATGAAATGTGAATTACCTAAATTATAGGTTGATTATTGAGCCTTCAGTGGCCAGAGAACAGTAGGCTTAGAT